ACTGCTTACGGATGCTCAGTGCGATGCCATCTTGGATGAGATGGAACGGCAGTACCACCACGGGTCATGCCTTAACTCAGTGGCTAAGCTGAAGGTGATTCTGGACAAAACGGACTGCCTTGAGAGCAGACGCTTTGTGCTAGCAGCCCTGCTTGACTACATCCAGTCAGGTCAATTGACCAACGAGCAGGCCTGGGGGGGGTGAATCTTTAATAACTTTTAAATTGTCTTGTCAATCAAGTTCTATAAATAAATTATTGTTTCATATTGTTTCTTGCTCCTGAGGTCACGCAGGCTTTCTTGAAGGGAAGTGCCAACTCTGCATCAGCCATCGATGTCATCAAGTTCAAGAAGAAGTGTTTTGACTACTTGATTGACGTAGAAATGCACCGGCAGGGGTTCAACCCAGCTGACCTGACGCTTTTACGGTCGAAGATGTCGGACCACAAAAGTTTCAGAGAGAATGTTTCTCCGTTGGAGGGAGGGGCATCCAACCAGTGGCAAGCTTCATTGAAGCAAAGCAGCCTGCTCTGCTTGAAGCTCTTGGAGGATGGCGGGTCAAGTTTGAATGCATTTTTGTTTCTAAAATATTAATCTATTTACCACTCCGCCGCCGTCACCCTGAAGGATTTGTTGTACACTACAACTTTCAATGGGGCTGTGGTGGCCACATTGAGGAAAGGCAAGCAAGTCTCCCCAGCCGAGATTCTTGAAGTAGAATCTGTTGCGCAGCGGTGGCAACCATGCTTGAAGAAGAAGGACGACGAAGCGTCCTCTGAAAAGGCATTGACTGAGCTGAACGCCAATGTGAAGGATGATGAAGAAGATGACGTGACCAGGATGATTCGTGGCTCGGTTGATGCCAATCCCAACAAATACAAGAAGGGAAGTGTGGAGCATCACTGGGCAACGGCATCTCAAACGCTGGGGATCTACTGCACATTGCTGACGGAGCCTGACACTGAATCTCAGCTTGCCAAGATGATTCAGCAGTCACCAGTTGGCAAAGGTGAGGTCCAAGGCACCAGTGGGATACTTGTCGTCAGCTTAGAGGAAAAAAGTGTTGGTAAACGACTAAGGAAAGACATTGCTTAGAGGAAAAAGAAAATCTATTTCAGTCAATCAACTCTCAAACGACTAAGGAAAGACATTGTCTTGGTGCACCTGGACGCAAACCTGATGTCGGAAGCCTCTAAGAGGCCAGACAGAAGGGCGCCGCCTTTGACAGAGACGATGATGAAGAAAATGGTCTCTGCTGCCCTTCTCGGAAGAGGCTGTGAGCCAGTTGGCAAGAATACCCATGTTGACCTCCCTGTATCAGGGGACGTGCTTTGTATCCTGGATGGTGGCCGGTCTTCCGAAGTGCTCTTTAGCCCCTTCAAGCCAACCTTGAAGAGCGGTAGTTTCTCGTCGTTTTTTTAGAGATTCCGCTTTTATTCAGCCTTTTTTATTTTTGATTGGGATTTTGCGCATAGATTCTGATGACTCGCTGCACTCAGGCTATGGTGCCATGCCCCACTATTTGGAGGTGAAACCGGTGACGCTATGCATCAACGAGGACTCGCTCAAGGGTGCGAGGATCGCTGAATCAGGTCCAAACTATGCACCTGATCAGTCCTGAGCCTTTGGAGAAGATGATCCCGGATCGTCCAAGGCTCAAGTATCCAGGAACGACCCGCGGCAATTGCGTGGCCTGGATTTCTTTGATGCCAAGCGCTGAGCAGTGGTCGCTGACTCTGGAAGAGAAATTGGCAGTGTATGGCCACAGGAGCATAGGCAATGATGCTGGCGCCGCTGAAGATGATGCCCGAAAGCCAGCGGATGTCGAGCCCGTCTTCTACAACTTTATGCCGAGACTCTTCTATCAGGACATCCTGTCGTGCTACAGCGTGGCGGCTTGGATCTGACTGTGATTTTTTAGAAATAAATTCTTTATTTTTTAGTATCTTTATTTTGGATGATTCACTGATGAGTGTGTTTGTCCATGCAGGTGGCCGTTTTGGATTTAAGCCCGGGCCAGGGTGAATTGGCCAAAGCATGCTGTGAAAGGAGGATTAAGTATTGCGGCGTGGCAATGACATCCAAACACCAGGAAGGCCTTCGTGAGAACTTGGTCCGCTGGCTGAAAGACCAGACGCTCTGATGAAATTTGATGAAGTTTGAATCATGCCATGTTTTTAGATGATGAAGTTTGCACCATCAAGCAACTCAGGATGTCTACGCAGGGCAGCACATTTTATTCATCCGAGTGGGTCGCTGCTAAGGCGGAGGATGATGAGAAGAAACGAAAACAAGGCAACGGCAGTGGCCAGGAACAGCCGGCAAAGGTCCTGAAGGGAAACCCTACTAATAAGAAGAAGTTGACTGAGTCCAAGTCTGATTCCGAATCTGGGAAGGAAAATTCTTAGTAGCCTTTCTTCAATGATCTGAAGTTCCTGCAGCTGGGGATTGTCAGTGTCGAGACTGATCATCGTCGGGAATGTCTCAATGAACATTGACTGGTCAGCGCATGGTTGAAAACAAATGCCTGGCATGCACCTCGATTCTGAGTTGAATCATGACACTTGTCATTGTCCATTGTCTGTCTAATAAAAATTGTTTGCGATATTATTTTCATTTTGGCAGACATTGCGGCTCGATTTAGAGGATTGACTGAGTCAGCATGGACCTTGACTTTGACTTGGCAGAGCCTCCAATAAAAACATCATCAAAGCGTGCAAGTAAAGGGAAAGATGATGCCTCCAAGTGTTCACTGAAAGCAGCTCGTCAACATTAACAGGATTTAATTCTCGTCAGCCTAGTTGTTTTTTTTAGAGTGACAGCCACAGTGTCTTGGAATGAGGTGTCTAAGACGAATTTGAAGAAGAAGCCAGCGGCCGCAGCCAGGATCAGGCCTGTCAGTTTCTGACATGATTTTGTGTTTTTTCACAAACAGCCCGTCAACAATTCCTGGTCAGGAAAACATCATCCAATGAAGAGAAGGCGCTGAAGCGCAATGCTGAAGAATTCATGGAAGACCTCCTTAAATTGTCAAAGGAGGCGCCTGCAAAATCAGATGAGAAGTGCAGCCACCAGCCTGGAAAGATTCGTTTGGGATCTGACTGCAGTGGGCTGGGCTCAGACTTTTTGGCCTTGAAGCTGCTAGGGTGCGACGTGGTACCAATCTTTTGCACTGAGATTTGCCAAGACAAGATCAAATTGATGTCGGTCATGCACGCCAAATTTGGACATAGCCCCACAATTATGGGGGACATCACATCCCGGGACGTGGATTCAATGCCATGCGTTGACGTGTTTGTGAGTGGTGCACCTTGCCCAGCATATTCATCATGTGGCAAGAAGAAGGCCCTCGCTGATTCAAGGGGTGCAGTTATTCTGCATTCCCTGCACTATGTGGTCCGCAAGAGGCCACGTGTGGTGATAGTGGAGAACGTGAAGGGCTTGACTGACAAGAAGAATGAAGAAATCCTGCAAAATATCTTCAAGATTTTGCGTCAATGCGGCTATTCTGTGGCATCAGAAGTAGTGGATACAGCTCAGCACGGTGTTCCACAGTCGCGAAACCGAGTATACATTGCAGCTCGTCGTGACTTTGGAGTCGGTTATTGACATTGTTTTTTTTTGGTTTGTTTCACTGTCAGCAATCAGGTAGCTTTGCTGAAAGCTCAAAGGGCGGAGAAGTTTCGATTCCCCAACCCAGTGCCCATGCCGGATGTCAAGAAGTTTCTGGTGAACAATGTCCAACAGAAGGATGGCCTTTCAAAATGCAATGCCGATGTGTTGGAACATTTGAAGAGCAAAGCGGCCGGTATGAAGGGCTATGTCTTCATGGACTTGATGTCCTCTGCGAAATTTTCAAGCGTATCGGAGGGAAAATGTCATTGCATCACACGTGCGTGCCTGGGACTTTACTATTTTTTGGGTCAAAATTTACTTACTGCAAGTAATGTCATGCTTTTGAAAAACACAGTGTGCTACCTTCAAGGCGAGGAAAGCAAGGTGGCTTCTGGATCGACAATCTCAAGCGCTGGACCAACATTTACGAGCTGGCTGCCTTTCAAGGTTGGCCCAAGAGTTGGGCAGATGATCTTTTACAGGCGGCTCCTGCTGCTACTGTTGGAGGAGCACTAGGTGATGGGATGAGCCTGAACGTGATCATGAGGGTGTTGGGGGAGGCCCTTTATTGCAGTGGGCTCCTTGAATCAAGGCCAGAAGATATTTGGGCCCAGATTCCATACAGGGCAAACGTTTCTCTGCCCAATGAATTGTACAAAAAAGATTCGCACAGCAGCAAGGCAGTGTGGACTTAGGTCAAATGATGGCACTTGCAAATTTTGGAAAAAATTGAGCGTCTCGGCATTGTTTTTCACAATTCAGCCTAATTCAATTCATTGACAGTGTCAAAAGCCCGAGAAAACCCTCAAACGGACCAGATTTGGGCATTGCCGGTCGGTTACCAGCAATGCCCACAGTTCCCTTGTAGGGTTTTTCCGGGCTCCTGGCACCATCAATGAATTAATTAAGAATGACAAGACTTATTAATTATTGCCACTCATTGTCATGGATGTAAATTGAATCGTTGTGGATTGTTCTTTGCCGCTGTATTTGGAGCTCCAGCATCCATCAAGCCGCCGCCATGATGTCATTGCCCACTGTGCCTGAAGAACACGGGGGCGAAGACGACCCGGTCGCTTTGAAATTCACTGTGGTGAGGCTTGAGAACCGGCATTACCCTGAGCGTCCTGGCTTCGACATCAACGCTAGCGTCTGGTTGGCCGAGCACATCATTAACGCAAGGCCGGAAAAAAATGAAGCATCAGGCTTGATTGAGATCACATGGTCGACAATCTCATTACTTTCCCCTCACATGGTGCTGCTGCGGCCTGGGGATATTGTGAAGGAGGCGTCCCTTTGACAAATTAGTGGCAATTCAGTCAGGCTCAATTAAAATAACTAAATCAGCAGCGCTGAAAGCAAATCCAAGGTTATTGATCGAGAACATGCTGGTCATTAATCCTGAAGGATGGACGCCAAAAGACCGTGGCAGCCGACTATATCACCGAACTGTGCCTTGGGTTTAGTTATAATTCAGACATGTTTGATGACACATTTTAGTTTTCTTTGAAAATCTCAGGTGATGCTGACTATGAAGGGTAAGGTCTTCTACCTGGACAAGCTGAAAGTTACATGGTGCCCAATTTTGACAATTGACTCGGAGCCGGTGTTCCAAAAACCCCATACCCTGAAGGTATGCCAGGAGAAGTTTGAGTGCCTGAAGAAAAAGGCACAGTAGGAAGTGACATGACGGAGCGACAAAAGTACTGAGTGAGGCAGCTGTGGTTGTTGTGTTTGTCATGCTGCAATAAGAAAAACAGGATTTGACTACGACAAGACATTTGGAATTTAAATGGGTGGTCTTAGAGCATTTGGCTCCAGACTAGACTTGCAGTAAGACTAACTTAGAAGACCATGCCGTTCCAAGATTCACGCCTGTTCGTGTTGCACGATTGGCTGCTGGAGTTTGAAGAGTTTGTCATAGCACTTTTCCGCCAAACCAGACTTGAAAACCATTCTCTTCGGCCACTTCATGAGAGTCTTCATGAAGCACAAATGGAAGACTCTCGGCTGCTCTACTTTTTTCATTACCAAAAAGAAAAAAGTCATTATTAATTCAAGAGAGCGGGTGGTCATGGGGCCTGGGTTTTGGTTTTCCCCAAATTTTAGGTAAATGCTTCAGTGGCAGCCCCTCTCCATATAAACACACATATCTATTCTTGCTCTCACTCTATACGAACAAATATATTATGTATTCCTGAGTCAGGGTAATTTTATTGTTTTGGAAGCAGCAATCAATCATTCAGATGGTTTTGAACAAGATAATTAGAAAAGAAGCAGGCCATAAAAGTGGTCGTTTTAACAATTGTCCTCTAGATCTCTGCTTATATTTATATTTAGATTTGGAAAGATTGTATATAGACGCTTTTATGTTATAAAAGATTCTCTATAGATCTCTGCAGATAATCATATTTAGATTTAAACAACTATATAGAAACCTTGTATGTTAAAAGCTTTCTTCTAGATTTCTGCGGGCAAGAGCTTGCATTTTCAAAGCTTTCCTCAGGATCTCTGGCAAAGTAGATATCCCACATATATATATATATGTGTTTTCATGAAAGGAAAGCTCTTGAAAGAAAGACTTATTTATTGATATATAGCATGCTTAAATTGACATGACCATTTCCAGAGATCCAGGGGAAAGCTTTTGAAATGAAAACTTTTATATAGTTTTATTGTAATCATGATGATCCCCAGAGATCTAGAGGGAAGCTCTTGAATTAGAAGCTTGTACATACAACATGTTTAATATGTATATATTATCTCCAGTGATTACTGACAATAAATAAATCTAACTATTTACTTCAAAAAAGAGTTTTAGTCTTGTTCCCAACACTTCCAGGGCAAAAAATACTGTAAAACACGGGGTTTTGTAGCATGTGTTTTCTTAAACTAAATAGGCTAGAGCTAGAATAGAATTAGGTAGAACTAAATTGGATTTGAGTTAGAGCTAAGATAGAACTGAATCAAAACCGAATTTTAACTAAACTTGTATTGAACTAAAACTATAGCCTAATTGAAATTGGATGAGAGTTGAATTAGAAAGGAATTGAAATTAAAATTAGAAGTTTGCCAGAATAAGATGTAAACGCTTGAGCTACAAGCACAGAAGTACGCTCGCAAAGATTTCCAACCGTTTCATGTAAAGGACAGAGTGTCCTCGCAACTGCATGTCAAGCTGTTTGGAAATGCAAGTGGCAACCGCATTGATACCAGTCAGCAGTTAATGCACTCAGACTTGTATATGGAGATTTGGACAAGGACAAAGGAAGTGTTGAGCTCAGACGGCTTCAGATGTAAGCAAAAAGAACAGATGCCTTGAGGTGAGAAGTAAGCTCAGATGCTAAACCAAAAAACCTTGAGAAAACAAAAAACAAAAAAACACATTCTGAGAGACTCTTGCTTGGACCCCCCAAAATCAGAAGAATCAGAAAACCAAAAAAACCTTGGGAAAACCAAAAAAACCTAAAAAACCAAAAAAACAAATTCTGGGGAAGTCTTGAGGACAAGGGGGTCCAGCCAAGAGTCTCTGAGAATTGTTTTTTTGGTGTTTTTTGGTTTTTTTGGTTTTCCCAAGGTTTTTTTTGGTTTTTTGGTTTTTCTGATTTTGGGGGGTCCAGCCAAAAGTCTCCCAGAATTGTTCTTTTTTGTTTTTTGTTTTCTTAAGGCTTTTTTAGTTCTTTTTTGGTTTTTATCCTTTATGCATATTTATCAGTGTTTTTTGGTTTTGATTGTGGCACTGATGCATTTACCTAATATTTATGAACATTTATGGAAAACCAAAACCCAGGCCCCATGGCCACCCCTTCTGTAATTCAATATCATCAAATGAATAAACAACGTTTTCTTTCAAACAGTAAAAATCTTTCAATGACAGTGGCGCTGGCAAGGAACCTATCTTCGAGCTTTCCTGGTGCCTAGTCTGAAACAAAAACGATGAACAAATGTCCAACGACGTCAACATTGGCAAGCGTGTGGAGTGCGTCCTCCAGTTCGCCTTGTCCAAAAATCTGCTAGATCGGGAGACTCGCTGTTTCTTGGAATGAAATTCAGATCACTGTCCATAATAATAGTAGAAATTTGTTTAAATTAAAACCCAAAATCGGAAGACCTAATCAAGTGAAATAAATGTGGTCAAAATTGGTCTGTCTGAGGGTGGGGGGTAATTCACTTGATTCTCTCTTACCTTTACGTTGTCATGTCTGAAGTCCACTTTGGACATTTGAACCTCGCTGCTGTTCCACATTCGCTTTGTGTATAAAAAACTATGTGAAACACATCACTTTTATTGTTTGGATGAGGACGCCATTGACAACGTGGAAGACATGGAGAATTGCAGCAATGGGAGGACAGGCATCGCAACACACGGCTTCGAATCGGATTGTTTCGACTACAAACCTCATCACCCACTCAACCTGCAAGTCGAGAAAGTCTGCCTTGAAAATCGACGGCCGGGTCCAGTTCTGCTCGTTATAGAAGACTTAATTAATTGCTGGTCCCTGGTCGTCGATGACTAACTTTTCCAGTGGCCTTGAATTGGTTGGACGATAAAATTAATCATCCTAAACTTCTGAGACTGGACAGTTCAATTTCAGCAGCCCGAGGTGAAAAAATATTGGATGATTTTTGTGATCAGCCTTGACAGAACTGGCTTTGGACATCAACAGTTGAAGGAAAGACACTGACAACTTGCATGAAAATTAAAATGACAACACCTGCAGCGAGGGATCAAGTCGTCAGTTGATGCAATGGATTCAAAGAAGGCCGCTTTGAGGATGGCAACGGTGGCCAACACCCCCTTATCCAAGCTCATTGCCGAAATGCAGCCCGTCAAGTATGAGAAGCTGTGTCTCTCGTGCTGGATTGATCAAATCTTTTCCTACCTGGATTCGTGCCTTGGACTGAGTTTTGGCATCATCATTGAACACAATCTAAAATTTATTTGTCGTCGTCTTGCAAGTCGTTTGTTGATTTCAAGTTTGTGTTCTTAGAATTTGCCAAGGGCTAAAGACAAGAATGAGTTGGCACGCATTTCTACCGATTGTGGCTGTGACTTGTGGGGCATCAATCAGATGGACCAGCACCGCAAAAAGCAGCTGCTGAGGGAGGCTAAGAGACGTCGACTTACTTAGATAGAACTTAGATGCCAAAACGGCAACTCGCTGACCAATTAAAGAGGGGAAATAGAGCTGCGCTTGCATCGTGTGATTTTTGCACAGACAGCAAGTTAAATTGAAACACTAGACATTCCCCCTAAATTAACTTAAAGATAATTCAAATCAAATGCCATGGAGATTCAAAAATGTGTCACTAAGTGGCTATTGAGTTTAAAATCACAGGAACTGATTCCATCATCTCAATTTTACTGGGAATAATCTGTTTTTTATTCATTTTTAATTGAAGGCACTAGGGTGAATTTAAAACAACGATGGATGAAATAAATCAGGCTTAAAAAAATGAAAAAAATAAAAATTATCAGGGGTAACCAGGGTAACCGCTATAAACCAGCAAGTGTCTGTCCGGCGGAGCAATCTGTGGAGCTGGAAGCTGAGAACTGGCGACTTTGTAGTGCAACTTGAGTACGCGGAGTATCTGGGGAGCTGGAAGATGAAGAACTTTAGCACACGGAGTATCTGGGGTGCTGGAAGATGAGAACTGGCGACTTTGTAGTACCACTTCAGTACGCGGAGCAAGCTGTGGAGCTGGAAGCTGAGAACTGGCGACTTTCTAGTACAACTTTAGTACACGGAGTATCTGGGGAGCTGGAAGATGAGAAGCGACTATCTAGTACAACTTTAGTACGCGGAGTATCTGGCGAGCTGGAAGATGAGAACTGGCGACTTTGTAGTACAACTTCAGTACGCGGAGCAAGCTGTGGAGCTGGAAGCTGAGAACTGTATGCGGATGAGTCATCTCTCGCGGCTGAGTCATCTCTCGCGCCACCCGGCTCTCTTGAGAGGTTGACAAATTTTAGCTACTTTGCTTACTCATAAGTGGCTGCGACAAAAGAGTCATCGTGACGTTAGTATGTGCGTAATTCACCTTACGACAAACGATGTTCGCTTGGAATACACGAGTCGCTTGTCATGATCGTGACGTCGTTTACTCTCAGGTCGCCCTGTTCGTGGAAACTTCAGTGTGAAATGTACGTTCTTCAGTTCTATTTGAACCTCTTCAGCGTTGTGCTTGCACAACTAAGGTTGACGTTGCGCTGCCGTTGCATCGACGCATCTACGTCTACACCCCCTCACCTCTCTACATTTACATCTTCACACGCTCACATCCGCAGATCTACCTCTCCACCTCACCACACCCACACATCTGCACATCTATATCACATCTGTACATCCACTACAGATCTATATCACACCTGCACATCCACACTGTCACTCCTTCACATCCACCCTCTCTTTCTCTCTTTCTATACATCTTTTCGACAGTGCTGGACAATTACATGTCTCGCTCTCGGGCCAACCGTCGTCTAGTTTTTACAAGTCTTTCGCATAATAAATCACACAGGCATAGACCCCAGATAGCGGGTGTATAGGGGCAGGGCTTATAATGCAAGCAGTGTGTAACAGCCGTGGAGATGTACAGTGGCACCCTGCAGCGGCACCACCCACAGTCACCAGCGCACCCAGCCATCGAGATCTGCAGCCGCGCAGCGCCGATCCAGGGCCACAAGGGAGACTTGAGGCCGGGGGGTTGGTGACGAAAGCTAGCATGGCTTGGAAACGGGATGTGGCGAGAGGCATCGGAGAGGGCAATTCTACATGTTTGTTATGGAAGGTCTCTGGTTGCCAAATGAGGCGGTCTACACATAAATTATGCAGTGGGTAGGCCATTCCATCCCCCAGCCAATGACTTGCCAAAGCAAGAGTAACTCCAGCTTTCGTGACAAGCATGAAGGGAGACAAGCCTCAGGGACAAGGCGGCAGCAGCAGCAGCAGCTAAATCGCCAATCGCAGCCGCACCATTGAGAAGTAAGAGCCCCTTATAGCTTGCAGCATCTTGCAGCTCTCTGGTGAATTACGCCAGCATACAGGGCAACACACTGCAGCGGCACTCTGCAGCGGCACCAGCACCCAAGCTCCAAAGCGCACACAGGCGCCTCCTACTTGAAGCAAGAACTCCAATAGCTCTCGCTATCTGGAAAAATGCTAAAGGCACTCCATTAACTATACCATTTCCCTCTTGAGCCACATCGTTTATGATGATCTATGCATGTTCTTGCACTCCTTGGCCAGTTCGGCCTCAATAGAAGCGCCATGAATGTCGCTGCTCCCTGGGTGCTTCCACCTGAGCACAAATATGAATTTCGCCCAGCTGGCTGGGTGATGTCACCACCTTGTTAAACTGTTACGCCCATGACCTGTCTCGCGGAAGGCTCTGGTGACTTGCTGGGCCTGCAGAAGACAAGCAAACAGCCCCTTTGCAGCCGAACACTCCAAATGAACATCAATGAGAATCCATCAAACAGGGTTGCACTGCCAAACTCTGGCAACTATTGTAGCCCACCAACTGACTTAGGCCATTAGGCTTTCACCTCAATCCGTCGCCAGTTCTCTTGTGTGGCAACAGCACACAGACAGCATAACAGTGACCGGTCTACCAAAGCCACAAAGGGGCCTGAAATCGTAGCCTCTGCCCTTCGATAATGGCTGCACGCTTTTGCTCAACCAAGGCAGCTTGGTTCTTATCCTGAAGCGCTGGAGGACTTGAAGCAACGCGGCAACTTAGTTCCAAACTGCCCTGGCCTGTCCACCTGCACTGAAATGGCGAACTGGACACAAGGAAAGAAGTCGGTCTTTCCTGAGATGCTTGCAGTACTGGCTGGTATCACCTATTTTACTCTTGCAAGACGGCAATGTCCTGGATTTACCGCAATTATATGACGCTGGTGCCTATGAAAAGGAATGCCTTTAGAACCCTTTGCATCTGCAAATAGCGAGGCTTTCCTCTCGCTTCGTCAAAATCTTCTCAGGAAGCATCGTTCGGATATGTCTGAACAGGACGCAGCGCGCAGCTGCATTCGGCTTCAAAGCCATCGTGCAAGCCTTGTACGTTTGGGAGGGTAAGGTCAGGAACTACCGTATAACAAATTGGTCCAAGAGCTCAAATGATGCCTAGAATGCATACATTCAACTTTGTTTGTGTTGTCCCCGAAGATCCTGCACAAAAATGTCCGTTATCGTCTTGTAAAATATTATCCTCTTGGCATGCCTGTTGTTGAGCCATCACAAAACATCGCGGTTGCAACTGAAGCAAACATGCCGGTGACAGTGACCGCAAGTGAATAGCATGGTAAATTAAATAAAGTGCTTGCATGTGCTGGCTATCAGCAATAGAACCATGGCCTGGATGGTCTGAGTGCCACTTTGACCAATGACTGTTATAGTCATAGTCAGCCTTGATGAGTCACAAGTGCCAAAAGACACAAAGAGTCACCCAGTGGTTCCTGAAAGCATTGCAATGACTCACACACATATATATATATATGCCGATAGATAGATAGATAGATAGAAAGATAGATAGAGTAAGGAGTCGTCAGGCTCCGGGGAAACTGACATCCTGTGCTAGACACACCTGCAAACTGTTTGCAATATGCATCCACTAACTGGATCGTCTGTGATAGGCTTGAAAGAAAATGCGCAGGATGCCATCTCACGAAAAGAACAAAGAGACTACACGGAATCTGAGGTGCCTGACTTGCTCAGGGTGGCTCACATTCATTCGTCGGTGATCAATTAACTTGTGCTGGGGGGCACTCGAGAGCCTACGACCAACTAGAGGCCCCCTGCTGCGGGGGCATGCTTGAGAATACTTGTAAAAATTGCATGGAAGTGGTCATATGTGGTGCATTTGCAGGCTGGTGTGTGAGGGAGTTGGAGTGGACGGGGGTGGGGGTGCGGGGTGTGGGTGGGGGTGGGAGTAGGGGTAGGAGCAGACGTGATAATGGTTTGCTGACATATGGTGCTGTCTTACCAAGCCAGAATATTGCAGCGCAATCTGAGACTGAAATCTTGAGCTTGTAACAGCCAGCTGCATCCCAACCAAAGATATGTCCTGTATCACTTTAGCACGTGGCCAAATCTTTATCAGCACTCGCTGGTAGAAAGGAAGCCAACACTTTCCGACAGCAGGTTCACAGCAAACAGCGCAAACCCATAGACCATTTTAGATGTGGGATCCATTTCAGACCATGACCTAAACCTCATGCCATCTACAATGAACTCTCTAAATCCCAGGTGGCTCCTCCTCTTTTTTACTCTGAAAATTGATGCAAGCTCAAGGCAGCAGTGTGAGGCTTTCTCTGCCTATGATCTCCACATGGCAAAATTGATGGTTCTGCAGATTGCTGCATGATTTGATGCACTTCTCGATCACGGTGCATAATTACCCATCCCCATGTGCATGTCCCCTGAGATCTCTTCCTTGGCATTCGAACATCGCCTGACTGGCATCTTCGTAGCAGCCGGTGGTGTGTACTCAGTGAAGCCACATCGTCCAAGTTCGTCATTAGAGCTCCTGGCGTCGCAAGTCCTTGTGTTTGCTCTCTTCCAATCCCTCTGCGGAATACTTCAGCAGTAGTTCTACCAAAGATCCATGGCCAGCCTGATCCAGCAAGCTAGAAGAAGGGACTTTGCATCATTAAAGCGTTGCAAACTGCAAACATGAAAACTTTACCGCCTCTTTTGCACGATGGAGCGGCACATGTTTTTTGCGAGTGGGTGCATCCACCTGGGCGCGTGCTCCTAACCTTGGCGGCAAATGATCAAGTTGTCAAGACATATGAAGATTGGTTGTACGTAAAACAATCCAAAATCAAAAACAAATACTGTACTGTAAAACAAAAAGAATGTAAAATCCAGAACAACCAAAAACTACTGTAGACTCACACAAGAAAACAAAAAGTCAACAAATTGACACTCAAGAAAAAAGCAAATCAAGATTGATTGTTTTCTTGTTTTTGAGTCTGGATTTGTTTATAATTTATAATCCAGACTCAAAGAAAAATATCACTTGCGATGTGTGTGTTGTCCGTTTTTGTTGATTGTTTTTCTTGAGTGTCAATTTGTTACTTTTTCTCGAGTCTGGTTCTGAGTTTCCTCCTTTCTGGTTGAGTTTTCTGCTAAGTCTTGTTGTATTTTTATATCCTTTTCAATACATGAGCTTTGTGGGACCTAGGCATCACAAGTCAAGTCAGTTTAACAAGTTAGACAACTGATATGCCTCCGCAAAATGGACAACATATTCTCAAATCTCCGCAGGGTGACAGTAGCTCAGCAAGTTCAACATGCCCAGCAGCCGCTGCCACATGCAACGGCTGACTTCCGTCCGTTGCCTTTATTGACGAGAACACTGCACACCGCAATTGTGGAATTTCAAACTTGCATTTTGCAGTTACGCGTGCTTGGACGAACCAGGCCCCAAATGATGCAAGTGTTGCAGGATAACAAGATAACAAAGTGTACCTAAAGCTCATAAACAACTTGGGGCTGAACAAACTGTCACGTGCAGTAGAACTCAGCCCCAGTCATCCCCAAACATGAGTATGCCGCATGCCAACTCTTCTCACTGTGCTACCAACAAATCAGATTACAGTACCTTTATGATGTGCCTGGGGTGTTAGGACAGATTTTGAGCATTGTTTCAAGTCGCGGTCACACTCGCCGGCTTTTAGAGCGGAAGGAAAAAGGCAGTCAATAAATTCATGATTCCTGATCCCATATCCCAAATGATCCCTGAATTTTAGCCCAGATGCTGCGGCCAATGGTTCAGCCTGCAATGCAAGCAAAGACTGAGCCACCACGGAGTGACCATTCAAAGCTGCCATGTGAAGTGGAGTGATGTTTCCACGTGCGGTGGCACTCACATCTCGTGAGAGCCACCGCGTGACATCGACATGCCCACTACTTGCAGCCACATGGATCGGAAGCAATTGAGATGAAGTTGCAGGCGTGGAGGAAAATCCGCGCTGCCCCAGCCACTCTGCCACTTTCAAATGCCCATCTCTGGCTGCAACATGCATTAGGCTTAGCTCCTCCTTCTTCATTTGTGGATTGTTCCCAGTTCCTCAGCATCAGCGTGCCTCAAAATATGAGACCCACCCTGAGATGTTTCGACCCGTATGGTCCATACTAGTCCGAAAAATAATGTCCGCATATCCTTCTCGGCGGTCAAACAATCTTACTGACACGATTTCTCTGTCAGCTTCTCAGCGCGGGAAGCACCAACAAGTCCAAGGAACGACGTGATCATGTGACATCGTTGGAGCATATGCACAAACAAGCAGCAAGAGAGAGAGAGAGAGAGAGAGATTTTTGCACCCACTTCCAAGCCGACAAAACACCCCCTCAAACGCCAAAAGAACCACTTCACCTCGGATTTGCGCCCTACACAAAACTAAAGTACCGGGATAACCCCACCTGACAAGCTTTCAGAAAGCGAGAATCAAGAAGAGAATGCTTGCGGATACAGCAAGGGGAGAAGGCGGCAGCAAAGATGGTGGATGGGACAGCAAACCCTATACAGAGCAGCAAAGCACAGGGGAGGAGCGGTAGGGCCCAAGGGGAACCAGTGCCGACCCCCAGCAAAAGCAGACCGCATAGCGAGCAGCAAAACTGAGTGGAGGAGTCGGTGAGTGTAAATTGGTATGTCAGTTGGTGTGAGTGAGTTGTGTGCGTGTGTGCAAGTTGGTGTGTGTATGTTTATGTGAGCGAGTTGGTGTGTGTAAGTGTGTGGGGTAGAGGAGCGGTGGGAGGAGAGGAAAGGGAGGAGAAGGGGGAAGACCCGATCCGACAGCACTATGCCCGCAGCTCCGTTGCAAGATACAGTATCAGCAACCCCATTGACTTGCGCGGGCTGGGCGTCTTCAGAACGCAAACGGCTGCGATTGCCCAACTACCGACCGCCTGGATTAACATGGATTAACAAGCTACTAGGAGCTCCTGGCATCGCTACTAGGAACAAGAAGCTAGTAGGGGCTCCTGGCGGTACTACTAGGAGCAAGGAAGCTACTAGGAGCTCCTGGCATCGCTACTAGGAACAAGAAGCTAGTAGGGGCTCCTGGCCGTAGTACTAGGAGCAAGGAAGCTACTAGGAGCTCCTGGCATCGCTACTGGGAACAAGAAGCTAGTAGGGGCTCCTGGCCGTACTACTAGGAGCAAGGAAGCTACTAGGAGCTCCTGGCATCGCTACTAGGAACAAGAAGCTAGTAGGGGCTCCTGGCCGTACTACTAGGAGCAAGGAAGCTACTAGGAGCTCCTGGCATCGCTACTAGGAACAAGAAGCTAGTAGGAGCTCCTGGCCGTACTACTAGGAGCAAGGAAGCTACTAGGAGCTCCTGGCATCGCTACTAGGAACAAGAAGCTAGTAGGAGCTCCTGGCCGTACTACTAGGAGCAAGGAAGCTACTAGGAGCTCCTGGCATCGCTACTAGGAACAAGAAGCTAGTAGGGGCTCCTGGCCGTACTACTAGGAGCAAGGAAGCTACTAGGATGTGAGAGTCCCTACCAGCCCTAGTTCTTAGTTTTTGCATGTTTGTACAGTAGTTTCACGACACTTGTTTTGGCTCAAGTGGACGATAGCGTTCATTTGGCTGTTGCGCACGGAAGTGGGCACTAAGTAGCTTCCAGCGCGGTCTCACCGCAGCAGCGCCTCACGACTTGAGGACGCGTGAACTCTCGAGCAAGAAACAGTTGGGCCGCTGTGTTTGGGTCGGATTCCAAGACCAGCTGTCCTTGTTCACAGTTGGGGGCTGTTCTGGGAAAAGCTGCGGTCGTGAGACGCGCGATGAGTAAAGAAGTTGCTGGAGAAGATGAGGGCGTGACCCTATCGGAGTGCATAGCTGATGGTCGCGTCCCGGTGCCGGATAAGATGTCCTTCCCGAAGTGGCAGGCTTGGCGACGAAGGGAAGGAAGACGCCCAACCAGGAGAAGGGATGGGCGAGGGCTGCCTACAGGTGAGGAGGTGGCTTTGTGGAAGGCCATTATGGCAGAGTACTATGGAGAGGATGACAGTGAGGAGGATGAGGATGATGACGATGGAGAGTCCTCTGAACTGGTTGTCTCGGACTGGAGCTGGAGGATCTAGCCCTCGCCCGTCCTCGGCCGGAACCGGAGCAGCTGATGTGGAGGAGCTGTTGAAACAGATGTATCAGTTGTTCCGCCCGGACCGGGAAGAGATGGGAGCGCTTTTAGCCAGGATCACCCGTTTGGTGATGGCTTTAAAGACACTAGGGCATGAGGTCAAGACTGAAGACCTGGATCGAGTCACGCTTAAGGCTGAGATCATCCAGGACGCCTATGACCAGGTGGGCAATTGGGATGTCCGGGCCCTAGTTCGCGCTTTGCGGGACAGGTTCGCGTTCGTCGCGCTGGACTCCGATCTTTCTGATGGAGAGAAGACCATGAAGGCAGAAGTTCTTGGGCAGGTGATCCTGGCCCTTGGTGGAAAGGAGAGCTCCAAGAGCGACAAGTTGTTCAGCACACCTTCAGTGGAAGCCCCCGTTCTCGACTCTCCGACTCGAGCTGCGGTGTCGCTGAAGGAAGTTGGGCGTGCTGGACTCGCAAAGCATGCGACGAGCGGAGGAGACTCGCCGTTGCGCGCGAAGGTCGCTGCCCTAGAGATGGAATTGGAGGCTCTCAAACGCGAGTCCGAAGGTTCGGTTGTTGGTGGGGGAGAGCTTGCTGCGGCCTTAGAAGCACAAACGAAGATGTTGAAGGAGACTTTGACCGCGAAGGGCGGATTGACCAGTGTTACATCGGTGAAAACTGATGTGAATTGGCCCACGCTCGGCGACGATCGTTCTGAGGCTAGAGATGTAGTCCAATTTTATGAAGAATTTGAGGATAGCTGCTCCCTAGCCAACAACTGCAAGGGTATGAGTTACCGCGAACAGTTGATCGCCTTGCGTGCCAGGTGCAGAGGCAGCAGGCTTAAGACTTTCACCAACATCTATCGGGCTGCGTGGCGAAGTGGGGAGATCTTGGAAAACCCTGAAACGGTGTACACCAGGATCAAGGAAAAGCACTTGGTGTTTGCTGAAAGCAAAGAAGAGAAGGAAGTCCGCGTGGACAACGAGCACGTTCTATTGAACAAAGGACGTTTGAGCGCTCACCAATTCGAACCTCTTTTCGAGGCCAGCATTTCGGAGCTAGAGTCGGTTGGCTTGGGGAAGACGCAGCGAGAGCTGTACCTCTCGTACCTGCGGAAGATGCCGCCCCACCTCCAGAAGGAGATCCGGAGCGACAAAAGGCTCTGGAAAGGGGAAGCGACACTTCGCGGACCTGCTACGTGGGAAGAAGCCCATCGAGTGGTTTTGGAAATCGAACAGAGGGAGGCCACTCGCAAGGCGACTGCCAACTCCGTGCTCGCTGCTGGATCGGACATGTCTGGCATGGGTTCGGGGCAGCCGCCGCTAGGTGGGAAGCAGGCCCAGGAGGAGAAAAAGCCAAAGCCGAAGCCGAAGCCGAAGGCTGGTCCTGGTTCGAGCGTTCTCGCCGCTGGCGTGAAGTCCACGAAACTCTGTTTTCACTTCCGGGATCATGGAAACTGTCCAAAAGGGGACGCGTGTCCGTGGTCGCATGACAAGGAACTTCGCAGGAAGACCCTCGCGGCAATGAAGGAAGCCAGCGGAGGAAAGGGAACAGAGCAGACTTACGCCGCAAAAGGTGGAAAGGGCAGCGCTAAAGGAAAAGGGTCCGAGAAGGGGTCAAGCGGCAAGGGTTCGCCCAAGGGAGGAAAAGGTAAGAGCAGCAAGCCGCCAGGGACTTTGTGCCCATACTTTCAGAAGAATGGAGCTTGCCGCAAAGGAGCTGAGTGTGACATGGTGCACAGCTTGCCCGCTTCGACGTCGCAGCACGCTGGTCCGCCCGACGGCTGGAAGGCACCGTCTGGAGCTGCGATGTCCAACCCCTTCGCCGCCTTTTCCGTTCAAATTGGCAGTGCTACTGTGAAGTCCGAAGTGCAGCAGCAGGTGCTCAGCTTGGCCAAACCTGCGGGCGATCGGCCGCGGTTTGCATCTTTTGACGACGTTCCGAGCGACTGGTTCCACCTGGTAGAAAATGAAGCAGGCGGATACCAGTACAAGTCAGTGGTCAAGGTGCTTGACCGTAAAGTGGAGGTCATGCTGGACGGGTGTGCCGGCTCGAACCATATCACAGAGGAGCTGGTGACTGGAATGCTGAACCGTGCAGCGGATCTTGGCATCGGCCCAGAAGATCGCCGGTTCCCTGTGCTTCGGTTCGAAAAATGGACCTATCCGGAGTACGTTCACGGGATAGCCGCGGGGTCGCCAGTGCCGTTGAAAGGAGCGATAGTGCTTCGAGTGACCTTGCTAGAAGGAGAAGATCCAGAAAGCGCAAAGGATGGCCCAGAAGTCTTTGTCCGTTGTAAGGTCGCTGCGCGCGGCACTTCCGACTGGCATGGATTGATTCTCGGTGGACGTGCTTTGGATCATCCTTCACGAATGGGGCTTGGTTTCCGGCCAGGCCCAAACGGGCACGTTCTCGACACGCTGGGCATCACTATGCCGCGGTGCGAGGATTTGTCGCGAACAAGGCGTGATAGGGCCTATGTGTTTTCTTCAATGGTCTCCAGTTTGGATGATCCTTTTTGTTGTGAGCCTGGAGACTCGAAGAGACAACTGTTGGTGTATGATGGTGAGGAGACCGTCTATGTGGAATCTGGTGAGGGAGCTATGCTGCCGGTGAAGAGGCACACCAGACCATTCCTCGATGGATCCTTATGTGAAGGGGTCTTCCCAATCGAAGGTGGTTTGGAAGCTGTGCCGGGCATTTGGCCCAGTGGAACTTTATCGGGTATGGTTTTGTTCGCTTCCCCGGATTCAGACGTCTCAGTGCAGCCAGGAGATCCAGTCGCGGAGGTCCGTGCTGGATTGGTTGAGACGAGCGTGTGCGAATGTGGGTTGATGGACACGTCGTTCATTGTGCCTAGAGGAAATGACCAGTGCGAGATCTGTGGTACGGCTCGCCTGGAATCCTTTGACCCGTGTGTGGAGTGTGGGTCAAGGGAACGGAAGGCAGTGAGAGATCTGCAGGGCTGTCGTTCTTG